CTTTCCAAAATTCTTTCTCACCTGAGCCCAGTGGACGAGTCACTCGGCTGAAAAGTTAACTCACGTCGAAATGACGAGTTTCAAGCTGAAGCAGCTACACTTATCTAAAAACGAAAGAAGTTAATCTAAAAAAAAGAGATGTTCCTGTTTAAATTTTCACGTTTTATACACTTCTGCAGGCGCAAAACAAACCGGTTAATATATTATATATAAATTATGAAAATAAAAATTATGTGAAAAATTAATTGGAACCAAATGAGAAAAAAACTATGGGACTAATTGACAGAGACTAATTTAGAACGAACTGAGAGGACACCCTATTTAAAGAGCGTACAGTATAGACAACAGAGTGCAGAACATATATATCACATTGTAGAAATACAGAAATATATTGAGAGAATATAAGAGACGAAGAGAGTTGAACAAAGAGGAGAAAACGTATATACATTAGCCTTTAACACAGATACGTAGGATGACTGCAGGTGCAAAAGGGTTCAATAGAAAAAACATAGGTTCTTGCTAGAACCTTTCTTTAAAATACTGAACCATTTTTATTTTTAATTTTTCACACAATTTTTATTTTCATAATTTTATCACCATATTTTTCATATCAGGGCCTAATTAAGTTATTACGATGAAAATTAATAGCACACCGTATCTTCCTACACTGTAAAAAATAAACGTCGTTTACTAAACCTACAAACGATCTGCTGAAAAAGTCGTTAGAAACCCTAAGAAAAACAATTTCTCTTTTTCTTTTCCGAATGTCTCCTAATGTTCACAGTAGGATATGGATATGTGACATACAGAAAAAGAAAAAGAAGACTTACACGCTAGAATTCTAATATATGTATCGCAATATAGAAAGCGATTCAAGCCGTAACAGTTTTGAAGGCATCCCAAGATGATCAGAGCTTTTTGTTTATAGAACAAAATGCTTTACCTATAAGATGCACATAGCGCAGAGGAATGGTGGATTTTTTTTCTTTTTTTAGTTGGAACATCTGCCACTGAGAACAAATAATACATAAACAGAGAAGCAATTTCCAGGTGTTAGATGCTGACTTACAGTCAAGGATCCTTTTCATCAAATACCCCGAGAGAAATGAAGATGTAAGCCGAGGATATGATTTTAAGTTTAAATGAAATAACAATATTTAAGTGGGCGTGGTGTTCCGGCTTCGGTCTTGCCTCTGGCGTGAGACTGTGAAAGTTTCAGATCGTAAATGATCCCATCAGTTTTCGCGTTTTATCCGGATATTTCGGACTCAGTAAACCAAAATTGACCCTTTTTCAACTTATTTTTACGAAATTTTCGCTCTTAGTGTGGTTGTGATAAACCGTACTGCGATTCTCAACACTTTGTTGGATCAAGAAGCTTATTTAGATAAAAAGTAATATTACACTCTTCTTTTAGAATAAAGGAAGTTTCAGATTATTTCTATTTATAAGTGTCTAAAAAATCAAAGTCTGAATGTAATGTTTCATGATCAATATCCCTAACTACTGTGGAACAACCTTCTTCATCTTCATTAATGTTACATGCGGTTAGAAATGATTCATCTGTGTTACTTGTACAAATTTGTTTAAATATATGTTCATTGATACTATTTTCAACTTTAAGCAAACCTAATTTTTCACATACTGGAGTGCATGTATGTGTACGAAAAAATTCACGCATTCCTTTAACACCAAGATTTGTACGTGCTTCACAATAACGTTTTATATCCAGAAAATGTATTGCTGGATCTGTTAATAAATATGTATTATCATGTGTTTTAACACCTTGTAGGTCAACGACCATTAAACGTTTAGCAGTGTACTGATATGTCCAATGTGAAAATGACTGAAGAATACTGGAATAGTCTTTGAACGATACGCCGCCGCTATTATTATTCCATTTCTGAATTCTTTGATAAAGACGTGGTTCAACTTGATAAATTTTTGTACGAATTCCGATTCGTCGGACCAGAGAAGCATCTGCATAGAGAACTTCGAGTGGATGACTAAATACACTACGTTGTTTTTCATTAAATTTTGTAGCTAAAAACTGCGCTATGGTATGTATTTCCAAATGCTGTAGATAAACTTGGAGTGTATTATACTGCGGATCAGCATTGATCAATTCTTTATAAACCACTTTGGCCGTTGGAGAACCGATGGGTTCTAACTGACCATAATAAGCATATCGTAGTGAACCTTGTGCAAATGGATTTTTTGCTATTTTCATAACACCTTTGCCAACACCAACTGACAGACGCTGAAATATGGCTTCTACACTTTGTGGTGGAATAACTTCAAAAATTTCAATATTTTTTGCTTTGACAGTCAACCATGCCGGTTCAGTACCAAGAAGAGTATAGGTTTTTTGCTTGTCAGTTGTTTGATATAAAGACATTGTATTATGTATTGTAGTCATTATAACATCACTTGCCGTACTTGTAATACTACTGATTAATTCATTTGGATTTTTGACATTAATTTCATCAATCTTACCGTAAGTGAATTGAAATTCTTTGAACATTCTTTGTGTTCTATCAGCTGTTAACTGAATAGAAAAATATTTGACTTCGAGACGTTTGATAGACTGCAGAAGTTTAACTAGATCACGACTTTTTGGATCACCAGTCGGATATTCATCCCATGCAGCACCATTTTTTCTCAGCAGTTCTTCGTCATAGTATTCAAGACCGTGACATGGTGCATCACAAATGTGAATCAAAATTCGATTCGAATTAGACCAGTAATTCGAAAAGACCGGTAACAATTATGCATAGATAACCGTAGAAATACACTTGAGTACAGGCGAAATTTATAGTATCGACAGTCGACATGTCTGGAAACAGAAACTAATGTAAGTAACTTTTCTTCTCAGTTTCTTTAATATAACAGTGAGAGAAAA